TTCAGCAAAAAAAGAAACTGTCCAGATGACCTGACTGAAAATTGTTGCATAGCAGTAGTGGTTCAAAACATCAACGTTCATGCTCAATAATCCATGTAAAAATAATCCAGCAAAGATAAGTCAGGTCATCTGGATGGTTTATTTTTTTGTTGAGATGTTTCATCCTTCATCCAAAGGACTTCTTCAGTCTGAGGAGCCACAACAAACTCAGTCCCTCAAGCAGCACACTCGCATAGGCCAAACAGTTTACTGGTGATAAGAGAAAAGGATTTTTTACCTGGATTTTTTAGCATGATTTTCGATGTTTTGAACCACTTTGGCTATGGGTGCCTCAGAGGAGTCGATGGAGGAGAAGGCGGGCTACAGAAACCATCTTATCACCAACAAACTGGTTGGCCCACTACGTGAGTGTGCTGCTTGTGGCACTGAGTTTGTCATGGCTCCTTGGACTGATGAAGTGCTTTGGATGAAGAATGAAACGTCTCAACAAAAAAAGAAACCATCCAGATGACCTGACTTAACTTTGTTGGAGTTTGTATCTGGATCACTGAGCATGAACTTTGAAATATTGCACTGTATTTTATCATACTGTATTGTATTGTATCACAATGTATATTATTGTTTCAATTTTGTGCTAATAAAACCTTAGGAAAAGCCAATATTTTATTTTGTTTTTGTATTTGTCATCTAGTCGGTGGACAAAGAAAAATAATGACTAAACAATTATACAAATCAAGTACAGTAGAAAATGTATTACGTTTGGTTATATAAAGTTCTTCAGTAGAAAGTAAACAATTATATAGCAGAAATACTTTGTAGATCAGAGTGAGAGCTACACCTGAGAGGCAGGTTCATCCATGACCAGCAAAAAGAACGGCGACCAGGGGAGTCATCTGGCATCATCAGGTTCAGTCTCAGGCAGAAACTTCTCAGCTGGCAGGTCCTTCCAAATGTGCTGTCACAATTCTTCTGAAAAAGCACAATGATGAGCACGACTGAGGGCTGGAAACTGAGAAGTAAGACAAGAAGACAGCACGCCGCAGGGAAAGAAAGACCCAAATGTCCAGCAGAGCCACCAGCTGAGGGAGAGCTCTGAAATGTGGCAGCAGGTGCTCAGCACGATGAGCAGAAAATTAAAACGTTTGACTCTGATAGAGGCCGTGTCAGAGCAGAGGGGCAGTGAATGAGTGAACAAAGCTTTCTCAGAGGCTAAATGGAGCACTGGCTTTAGTGGGAAGCTGGTTGATTCTTGTCAATCAAACCACACGATTGGTTGTCACAGCATTCTGCAGCCTGAGAACGTCCCTAAACATAAAGCTGAACTCAAGATAAGCTGCTCTTTATCAAACAGGGCTCTGATCCCAACATCACAGAGTTAATTTTAAATAAAGTGGAACATACTGTAGTCTAGGGTTTTTATTTTATATTTTATTATTATGCATCAAGCCTACGTGATCTTTGTTAAATCCTTTCATAGAAGTTTGTTTATTTTGCATGTATTTCAGTATTTTTCTTTGTCCTTCATGATTTTAATTTACTTATAAAACATAACTTTCATACCATTTCTGAACATTTCGACCCACTTCTTTGCTGTTTCATTTGTTTTATTTGAGTTTTCACTCTTTCCTGGCTGCCCACTGGATTTCCTTTTGTTTCTGGTTGTTCTGTTTCGGACCCTTTTGTCTGACTGTGGTCACATAACATATGTTTCTGCTTGAAACTAACAACCTGGCAACCCAACTCTGAAAGTGGAAAGCACAACTTACAACTTACAACTATGTCATATTTCACTATCCATATCACAGATTATTTTTATAATAAAATACATAAAAATCATAACAGAATCTGTGATTATTTTGGCTTATCTGTGTATTAATTGATTCGATCCCTTTATACGCGAGGAAAGAATTCTAGTTCAATTTACATTATTTTGCTGTAAATAGAGACTGATTTTCCTCTCTAAGAGAGGTGGTGCACAAAAATGAGGTTATTTACACATTATGAGTTTAGCTCATAATTACTAAACAAATATTACACCATATTCCCCTACATATAAATGAATAAAAGTACAAATAAAATTACACAGAATGTGCTCTATTTTTAAATATCATGAAAACTTATCCTGGCAAACAATGGTTTTCCAAACTGTTTTTTTTTTTCTTTCAGAAATACAAAAAAATTTCCAAACTTTAGGAGTATTCTTTTTATATTTACTCAAAACTACATTTTGAACAGAATACACTTTAAATGTCTAATTTGCTAAATAACAGGATAGAGTGGGTTTTATTTTTTAAAACTTCAGTAACCTTAAAATATGTGGAACTTTAAACTATTTAGCCAAAAATTTCTAGTTAAGAACAAATACCACAAAATTGACTCAAGACTCTAATCACTCACCCAGCTCAAGCACAAAAAAAAAAAATGACCAGATGTTTTTAATAAATAATATTTAGTTAATTTGTGTTTGCAGCTCTTTTTATTGTCAGGGGAATTTGGTCAAGGTTTATGGGTGTTTTTTAACTACTATGGCTGAGAATGTTAACTGCCCAAGAACCATGTGTTTGAGTTGCCAGAGAGTTGTTTTCTCTCTCAGAGAGGGATGAATGAGGAGCTGATATGATCCTGCATGTGCAGCTGCATGGCCGAGGTCATCAGTGTCTGCCTCTGAGCAGTGTGTGAGGTTTGTTTTTATACACTTATCAGCTCTCAGCTCAGAGACAGACGCTGATGACCTCGGCCACACAGCTGCACATGCAGGATCATATCAGCCATGTGATCCATTCCATGTTGATGTGTAGCCTGAAGTCTTTTGCACAGTCCAACATAATGATTGTTTGGCTTTTTAGGTTGTAATTTAGTTTCAAACTTCAAAATTTAGCACCTTTTTTCTTCATGAGGAAAATTGGGGAGGATTAGAGCAAAAATTCATAGCATTTACAATAGAATTGTGAGAACTGGTTTTGAGACCAGTTTGAGTCTGAAAAAGTCAAATTGTGAGTGAACTGTATGTTGATGCACATGTTCTTGAATTTACCCCACAATTTGAACCAGTAGTGCCGAAGCTGCCCATGCCTGGATATCCTGCAATCTTTAAATACTCTTAATGAAGAGTTCAAGACAACAGCCAACCTTTCTGTTGTTCTTCTGCTCAACAGCTGCAAGGCTAAGGCTGATTTATACTCTGCAGGATGTTGGGAACTCTGTTTTCATTGATGCAGCTGCGTGATGAAAATCACGTCATTTTAATCTTGCAGGATTGTGAGAACTATGCATAAGCTCCTGGCAGAAAGCATTTCTGGCAGGGATATGCGCCAAGTATTGTGTGTTTGGTCAGAATTTTGTGGGTGTGTTTATGTTGAAAAGAAGGTGGAAATATACTGAAATACTGGCGAGCTATACCACTTTATTTATAAAGCTCTTAAAACAGCAACAAGGCCAACCAAAGTGCTGGTTTAAATACGCAAAGTGTATTTAGATACACCAAGAAGTAGCTGGTTGAGTCTGTTAGAATATGCAGCCATCTTTGCAACTGTTCCCGTAAAACCTATAAAGATAGCCAAAGAACTAGAAGGAGATCACACTTTTTGTGCATGGAGGAGACAGCACAGAGACACTGATGGCTCTTTGTGGCTGTGCCGGCCAGAGGAGTGCAGGCACATGCTAAGTTTGTTTGTTAATGTGCGCTGTCAGTCAAAAACTGTGCCAATCCCTTTTTGACAAATTTTACAAATTAGCGCTTCTCTTAGTTACAGATCTTCCTCCTGCAACGCTTCCATCTTCAACTGAAAAACATCTATCTCTGTCAACCGTGCTGTTGCTGTGTTGTTTCTGTTTTTGTGCTGTGTTCTGCAGTCTGAGGGCTAACCAGGAGTTCTGCGCTGCAGTTTTTCTTTGAATATCAAATGTCCATGCCAAAAAGAACATCTCACAGCTACATGGACGGTAGCAGATTTCTGAACATCTCGCTGAGTATAAATCAGCCTTAACTGCTGGCAGCTCGTTTCTGAAGGGCTCCCATTACCTGTGCTCCAAGTTTCTGCAGAATAGAGTTGTTTAAGCATCACAACAAAGTCCACGTCATAAGATATAATTCTAACCCTTTATTTATCTTTTTAGCACACTTACAATCAAGGATTAGACCCATATCCATTGGCATTTTATCCTTCAAAAAACTGTCAAACCAACACGACATGACAACATCAGACAAAAAGTTCTACGTTGGCAAACAGATCCAGGCAGTGCTTCCCTCAGTCTCACTCATTTTTACTCATCAGACAAGACGGTGATTTGAAACTCTGTTCAATATTGCACATTTTTGCTAAAGGTGAAATGACATGCAGTGCTGTTGCCAAAGCATACTTAACGTACACGTGTGTTCGCAGTGAAGTATAGTGAGATTCTGTTGCGTACTCACTACACCATCTGGGCACGTCTGATTAGAAAAACAGCTACGGCACACACAGTATGTGATAGGTTGGTGAACTGGAAGGATGGTTCCCCTGAGGTTGTTTTGTTGTCAGTGATGTTATAACCTGCATTGTGCCTCTGTTTGTAGCTTTTTTCTGATTTACACATGTGCATATTGTACATAACACTGTGCAAACTTTATAAATCAACAACTCCCTCCGCTTTGTACGGCATGTGCTTTGGATTTCAGTATCTTCTTTTCGATACAGATTGTGTCTTAGAGTGTGCGGTGTATTGCCATATGTATTTCAACGCTCTTTACAGACTGTGACATGAAAGTTCAGCACCATCTGCCTGTCTTTTTCCACTCAGACTTAGAGACGGTACTTCCTCAGGAGCTCCGATTGCCACATGTACTTCCTCTCCGGGAAGCGATCGGGAATCCTGATGCGACGGAAGTCCTGGATGCATTTCTCCAGCTCTTGTTCTGGAGTCATCTTCTCCTTGTTTGCTTTCCTCTTTGCGGCCTCTCGCTCACGCACGCCGAAGGTTCTCACACGGAGCATGTCTGTCTTGCGGCGCATCTCGGCCTGATGCAGCATGTGCATTGGGCCTTTGGGCACGGGACGGTCCAGCGTCTGAATCTTGGCCTGTCGGCTCACGGGGCCACAGATCACAGTTCCTTGTGGGGAGCTGGCCTCTGACTGGGTCTCGGAGCAGGAAGTTGAGAGATCATTGAAGGAGGTGCCGCTCTCTCCCTCACGTTCACTTTTGTGGCTCTTGCAGCAGCAGTCACAGTGGGAGGAGGACCACCGTGAGGGCCCACCTGGAATAAAACACACACAAAAACATATTTTTGGAATCAATGACATCCAATCTGCAGGTTGTGTTTCTAGTGACAGATTTTGTCAATATTTTTATTTTTCAAAAGTCTGAAGGGTGCCCAAATTTCTAACATCAATTTTGTAATAATCTAAGCAGACAGAAATACAGACTAAAAAGTAAACCTAACAAAAAACAGGCACTGTGCAAAAAACTACAGGCTGTTTCTGTAAAATTCTTAAATGGCAGTATCGCATGATCACACACTTGTTTTTATGTCTCTACAGACATTTAAGCAGTAGATATTACAGGTAGGGCTTAATTTGTAAACTGATCGATGCTAGAACACAAATAGTAGACAGGCGAGGGGTAGGGGGCAGGGGCTCTGGGGGTCCTCCCCCAGAAAATTTTGAATAAAGTAGATGCAGTTTCCTGCATTTTGGTGTATTTTAACGGGTTGTTAAACATCTTCATTTAACTACATTTGTAAACACTCCGCTTCTGTCAAGCATACCCCCCCACCCCACCTCACACCCCATTACTTGACGGTTCTGAACCGACTCTTCTCCACTGAATTCACTGTCCTGCTCATTGTTGTCCAACTCCACATGTGAAACCTCCAGGCGTCTCCTCCGTCTGTTCATGGTGGCTGCCTATGGGCTCCTGCCCATGCACGACTGCCTGGTTAGCTCGACACCCACCCCCACACCACTCGCTCACTCCTGCTCCAATCTCGATTGCCACTGCCTTAAGGCGCTTCAATTCTCAGTTGTCCAACTAAGAACAATGAGAAGCCTTTTTTTTTTTTATGAAAGTAAATTGGACTGTCTTTTTTATTTTGATCGTTATTATTTTAGCAAATTAGCTCTGTTGTTTTGATACGTAAAGTGAACAATACACATTAAACATTTCACTCGTTGTATTTTAATAAATAAATTGTTTTTTAATGACGCACTTTGTCAAACTGATTTGCAATTTAGTTGTGCTGTTTAAATGTATTTTTTGAGTTTTTTAATAAAATTGCATAACTTTGGACTTTGGTGGAGATTTTTTTAACGGAGGAAGCGGAAATGCTTACTTGAAGAGGCAGCTCGTATGTGATATTAAGAAGCTCGTAAGGGGCTGTTGTGTTTAAAATTAGTGTTTATGTAATTACTTTCAGTTTACATATCCAATTATTATTATTCGTTCAAGGCGTTCATATTTGTTCTTAACTTTATTAAAGTAGTCCCTCGCTACTTCGCAATTTGTTTTTCGCGGACTCGCTCTATCACGGTTTTGCAAAATAAAATTGGACATGACGCATAATTGGCTGATTGATGGATGAGCTGCACGATCAGCATGAATTTTTTATTTAAAATAAATTATTTAGCACCTCCTGCACCTTTGTGCAGCCCACACTGCAGGATAAACTTCCTGAAGCAGCTGATCAGCTGTTCTCAGTGCAGAGCGGAGAAGTGGGCGTGGCCAAGAGCGCTTGCAGGTGTCAGAGAGCAGACGAGGCAGAGAGCTGAAATCATGACATTCTGTCCTCTTTTAGAGCATTTAGAGTTTATAAACATTGTTTCGAATATTGCAAGAGTGTGGGAAGAGTTTAAAATGCTTTTATATATATATATATATATATATATATATATATATGTGTCAATAATAATATAAACTACTGCTTGCTACTTGTACTACTATTCCTACTTCGTGGTTTTTCACTTGTGGGGCTTCAGGGTACGGATCCCCCGCGATAAACGAGGAACTGCTGTATTAGTAAGTCTGAGAGTTACTGGATCCCAGCAAACAGTTACCAGAACACACCCTGTCAAAATAAGAGAGTTCCCGAATCCTGTTCCGGCAGGATCCAGCTCAAATTAAGCCCTGATTACAGGTTAAAAAGACCCTCTGGCTTTCCATTTTTAAAACAACTTTAAAACTGAATCTGTGGAGGTTTGGGTTTTTGGAGGCGAGATACAATCAGAGTCGCAGCAAGAAACAAAAGAGGGGTAAACAAAAAAACTTTTTCTTGGTTTGTGGTCGAACAGTGGAGTGCATCGGTCGACCCTGAAGGCGTCTTGATCTCCCGTCACAAAGTTTGGAAGAGCGTGTTCCAGCAGAAGATTTGAGTCTTCCTGTTCTCTCTCTCTCTGCACCTTCTTCTTGTTTCATCTCACTTCCTCCTACTCAGCTAATTATGAACCAGAATTTCAGCACAGTTCTGCCTGCTGGCTTGTGAAGTGTTCGAGTAAATACACTAAGGCTGTCTTTCTCTTCCAGAAATAACCACCATCTTGTTTAGATCTGCTCACAAATAAAAATATGATGTGTGGAAACGAAAATCTGCTCACTATATGTAAACAGCACTACAAGAGAAATAAACTCACAGATACAAACTCTTAATAGCTTTTTCAAACGTGATAATTTAGACACAATAGCAGGGGATATCTCGGGGGGGAGAGAGCAATGATTTGTCCATGGCCTCCCTCCAGCACATGCAGCAATTTAAAGTGAACAGAGTTCAGGGGAGGGAGCGGATTTTAACCTCTCTGTGCAGACTGTAATAATGACCTTATCTCTCTGGCAAAATGATTGCATTGAACTGATAGTGAGAAAGTCACTAACAGCTTTTTAATGGCTAATCCATGAGTAAATAGGCCAATCAGCACAGCAATTTCCCCCCACAGAAAATGAATCCCGCTGAATCCAGCAGCCGAGCAGCAACGGGCGAATGGATGCCGGCGCTCAGTGAGAGGGAGAATCAAGAGGAGGAGGCTGCAGCATTGTCTCTAAATGGATGCTGTAGTCCAGAGGGGCGACCCGATTAGGAAGCAAGCCAACACCCAATAATAGAAACAGGGAATTTTTCAGGCCATGCCAAAAAATGAATATTTATCAAAAGACGCTGAGAAAATACTTTTTTTTTTGTTCTTGTTTTATGAAAAAGTTCATTTTAACAAAGTGTGGATGTATTTTGTTTCAGAGTGGGGGGAGAAAAAAACACTACGCAAGGTTTTAGCACCCCAAGAGCAATTATTTTCACTGCACTCCCAAATCTTAATCAGCGTTTCTTAACAACTGTCAGCTTTTTATATAAATTATAACGGGAAAAGCCAAGTGAGGCAAATTTATTATGATCTGAGTGCTCTCAATCTTCCTTCAATTATCTGCAATCAGATGCTCTAAGCATTTGAACAATTAAAAACGCACAATGCCCACAAAGCAGAAGATAAGAAAAGATAAAAAGATTTATTTTTAAATGCCAGTTTTTCAGTTTGAAAAAAAAAAAAGAAGCTCAGCTTACCACAGATTTGATTGAAATAATTGACAAAAGCAATTTTCATGACGGATCATGCAAGAAACCCACATTTAGACTGACTGTGATAAAAACACTCAGATTAAAAAATAGTTCAGGACCCAGTTGGTGGAAAGGAAACTCCATATGTTGATAAATGGTCATGTGACAACAGAACAATGACACTAATATCAAATCAAATGGATAAGTCTATAAAAGCACATGCAGTGCATGGACGGGCATTGCCTCATTGAAAGCGGGGGCTGTCCCAGAAGGGGTAAGACATGTAAGATATCTCTGACGTACACAGTAACAAGCTCCCCTGAATAGCCACACCCTAAGAAATGCAAGGTTTACTTATAGTTCTGTCAATCAGTTCAACTAAACTTGATGGTTTAAATGTAAAAAGGAAAAATATCTCTAAAATGGAACTGAGATTCATCTCCAAACATGATGCTTCTGTAGTAGTTGGCACACGATATCCTCTGTTGGTTTGGGTCTGTTTTCAATGACTGTAACCTTCACAACAGGCGTACCCAGTAGGTGCCTTTGTGTACTTATTGGTTCCAACATCGAGCCGCTGAGACACCTTTACACCCCACATTCTGAGCAGCTGCAACACAACTTTCTAGCTTCATGCAAACCCACAATGTGACCCATGTCAAACTTTGCCGAGTGATGGTAACATAGCGTGGTGTGGCTTCGATGCAGTTTCTGTCTGATGACCTTCACTTTCTGTTTTCACTCACTATCAAGTGCTCCAACAGCCTGATACCTTTACAGTTCCACTCATGGTGCCACCACTTCTGATCTCTGGTTCTAGATCTCCTTGCAAATCACATCACACAGTAGTCTCTCGCTACTTCGCGGTTCGACTTTCGCTGACTCGCTCTTTCGCAGTTTTTCAACGATTGTCAACGTTAATATTACTCATGTGATTGGGACGGTATGGAAGAAAGTCAACAACAACAACAAAAATTTGGACAGGCGCTGCCATTTTGTAGTTTTCTTTCAATAAGCCTATCTGTAAAGCCAGTCATAAGAACTACACTACCCAGAAGCCAACAGTGCTTCCGGCCGCTGCTTTCTGCTAAAATGGAGGGAAAGTTTTGCAACAGAAATCTACACTATCTATGAAGCTCACAGAACTGGCAGGAAAGTCACAAATAATCCTGAAGCTCAATTATTCACGTGCACATCAACCTGGATGGGGCAGTGGGCTTCGTCGCTGCAGGGTAGGCCTGCAGAACCAGAACCGAGCCCGACTGGAATCGAGCTGCTGGTCTGCAGAGCTGGTGAGTAAATTTTGCAGTACTGTACAGTACATATACATGTATGGATGTTGTTAAAATTATGTAGGTTTAAGAGTTAAGAACATTGCAAGAGTGTGGGAAGGGTTTATAAAGCCTTAAAGTATTTATATAAATACTAAATTAAATATAATGTTCCTGCTTCATGGTTTTTCACCTATCGCAGGGGTGTGTGGAACATAACCCTCGTGATAATCGAGGGACTACTGCATATCCAAAACTGGTCTGCATGTAGACCAAACTGCATCCAAACTGAACCAATGCATCTTGGTGCTTTGCCTTTTTTTTTTTGTCAATGAATGCACAAAAGAAATGTGTCCTCATCAAAGTTTACACCTGGATGACTGCCTTGCATGTAGCTATCCATGTTTGAGTTTCATAAGAAGGCTGGTCTAGTGTCAAGATTTGAAGTCC